AGAATTGTGTTTTTGTATTTAGTACTGCTATTAATACTCTCACACGCACTGAAAAGCTTCACGGTCATGAGAACATGTGACATGATGATATTAATGTCATGAAAAATCACTTCATGTTGTCTCTGTCCTTGCACATGTGCAGACCGGACCACTACTACACAAGTGTGTCCCGACAGGTGACACTAAATATAAAAGCGGCGCACTTACATGCACTTTTGCTAGTACAAAGGGCCACAGTTAGCCTTCTGAAGAAACAAATGGGCACTATTAATACACACACACACACACACACACACACACACACCACCAGTGATGTTGTGATACAAGCGTCCACTCTTCCTCATCTGTCGCGCAGGCAGATCGTACTTATGCAAACACAAAGACCTGCTGTGTACACTGAGAAGAAACAACTGCAAGCTATTAATACCGTGTTTTAGATGGATGCATTCAAGCGCGCACACACACACACACACAAACAGACGTACACATTCACACAGAGATTGATACTCCAGCTGCTCGGAAGCAGAGGGACAGAATGTCCACAACAGCTGTGGATTCCTATAAATGTAAGGGCGGGGGAGGGGATGCAGAAAAACAGAGGGGTGAGGGGGGTGATGATGGTGGCCAGTGTTTTTGGAGAATGAATTTTTTTTTTTTTTAGTACACATAGGGATTTGAACTTGAACTCAGGTTTGTTTGTTTGTTTTTTTTTTCTTTTCAAACTCAGGAGACATTTGTCCTCAAACTGCTGCTGTTTGGACCTCAAGCTAACATCTGTACACGACTGCGAATAATGACCCCGTACTGGAACACGACCCGACTGTTGTGTTCTCTCCAGTTCACCAGTAAACAAAGTATATTTTAGGTTCACTGTGGATGTAATTGTTGAACGTTTGTAGTTCTCTCGATGCTGCAGAAGTAAACTGCTGTAGCTTGTCAACAAAAATAGAAGCTTCTGCTTGCTTAAATGAACCAAGAGGATGTTATGGTGCAGACTAACTTTAGAAACAGGAAGTCTCTGTTTCTGTGTGTGTGTGTGTGTGTGTGTGTGTGTGTGCGTACGAGCCTCTGTGCTTAACTGCTGAAGGCCCACAGAAAGAGGATGATGGTTGTGAAACAAATATGCTATTACAGAAACCAGAAGTTTGACTCCTGCCTATTTTTAGCAGCTCAACTCGCAGATTTTATCTATGCAATTATGTTTGCAGTGTTCCAGATTGAATCTAGGAAAGTACTTCTTTTTTTTTTAATTTAAAATGCAATATCTGTATTTGAGACATATAACGAAAGAAAACGACACCACCAGCACTATGTTGCACGTCCCATACTAGCCATTAATTTGATGGTATGTTTTGTCACTCAGTCAGTAGTGTACCTTGTTACACAATATAATGGATACTTTTTGTGGAGATTTATTACTATTTGTTTTGAAGCTGTGTCAGCACTTTCTCATTAACAAAAACATCAATTCAGATCTATTGAAAAGTTTTCTCAGCATCTACGTTCAGTATCTGTATTTTTCTCTGTCTAACCAAGATGAAAGTTATTAGACCAATGCGAGAATTACTTTGGGTTTTACGTTTCATCCGGAGGTCACCACAGAGGCAGTCAGCCAAGTGATCTGACAGAGAGGAACAGTTAAGCAGCTGCATGATGTTTGTTACAGAACGTAACCACACTACACGGTGTGTTTGCATGCTTTGTACCTTTCGTCTTTTATTAGATTAAAATGGTCGACACTGTTTGTTAGTGACATGTTCATTGCACTTAGTGACTCAACCTGTTGTTGGCCTGGATGTCTGCTTTATCCAGTGTCACTGTCAAAGTTTGGCTTATTTTTTTGTTTTTGAAGTGTGGGTTGTAATGTTTATGTTTTCACAGTGTTCTCTTGGTTTCCCCATCCAGTCTCATGCTTATGTTAATGAGGCTTTTGATTGTGCTGGCACTGTTGGAAACCTGGTGGCCTTAGTGTAGGTGTGTGGTCTGTGAGTCATTTCTTCATGATGTATTGTGATTTTGGAAGTGTGTACATTATTGAGCTCTCGTACTGAGCTCTTTGTAATGTGATAGGAAGTAATCATCAGCCTCAGAAAACCTCCAGGCTCTGGCTGCGGTGACTGAGCTGTTTTTGTTCTGTATCCGTTAATACAGTGAAATGAGTCACATGTCAAATCTTGTCACTTTTCTCGTTCTGAACAAATCCTCAAACATGCACAGAAATTAAATGTCACTCAGTCGGTGTGAAGACTGTAGGGTGTAGTGTGGTCGGTGCAAGCTGGGTTTTTTTTAGTGTGAAAACTGTAACACAGGTGTTTCTCCTCTGTGTAGCATGACTTCCTGATCGTTTCCTTTCTGTTAAGGGGAGCTGACATATTTGGTTGTCATGTTTGTGTTTGTGTGCAAGTGAAACGTGTGTGCACCAGTGCGACCACCGCTGTCCCGTTTTACCAGCATTTGCCTGGTTTCCTCTCAAAGGCACAGACATTTTTTCACTAACACAAACTGTTGTGCTGAATGTGGTGCTTCCTGTTTTTGTCTGTACTTATTCATGCGTACAAAGCTCAAAGCCCATGTCAGTTTTAACAGTGACATGCAAGCAGAGGCTTAGACCAGCTGTAATTCTCTCTGACAACAAGTGTCATCTGATGTGTCACAGCATGCAGGTTGGCTGACGAGGTCAGATTCCAAGAACTGCACTGTGCAGGAAGTAAAAAAAAACAAAAGATTAACAACAATGTATACTCTGGAAGAGGCTGTTTATTAATAATTAATATTAAAAATACATCACAACAGTAACAAAGAAACTTTGTCATAAGGTACTTTCAGTTTTCACTTTCAAAAAGCCTAAAACACATGACTTTTTAGCAGGTCAACAGAATTAAAAATGTAGCTTTAACAATACAGGGAAACTCTATTTCAGTCAATGATTTTACTCCTATAATCTCAGCGTTCTGCTCTGTGTGAATCTGACTTGACCTGCAGTGTTAAGAGCGTGGGAGTGTTTTTTTGTCTTCATACGGTAGGAATCCTGTCAACCTGTAACGCCTTCACACTTTCAACTCTCTCTGAGTCAATCTCTCTGTTGGGAACTAAAATGCTGCTGAGTCTGTGTGACGGCCAGAGTCCAGCAGGAGCGTTTAAAGAAACCCCAGGTGCAGCTTTCATGTTAAGGATTGCTCCTTTCACAGCGGTGTTGATAGACTTTTCTCTGTAACTCAGAGAGGTGTGCAACTTTAAAAACATTTAAACAGCGCTCCATTTTTTTTTTTTTTTTGCTAGAGCAACATTTAAAGGTAGAGTTATTCTAGGGTTTGGGTTAAGGCTGGAAACCACACAGCACATCTTCCTGACTTCCTCTCTGAGATCAGGCAGGGTGTTCAACATTAAACCTAATGAAAATTATGATCATGTTTTTTTTCTTACAACAAATAAAACATAAAGTACTCAAAGCTAGTGATTACTCAAGATAAAATTTCAATTCACTTGAGTTTAGCCAAATAGGGAGAAGTAACTCCTCAGCATCTGTGCAGCTGTACACCACCAACAATGTTGGGGGGAAAAAACTTTCAGTTATGCATTGACTTGAGCATTTGGCAACATGGACCAAAATGTGGAAAAAACTGACAACCACAAATAATCTTAAAACAATAGGACAATAAAAGTGCTGTGAAGTAAGACACTGCCCAGAACATGCTCCATTTCTACAGGAAAAAATCTCTGGTCATGAATAATTACATGCAGTATGTCACAGAAGGAACGTGTGCCTACAAGTGAAACAGACCACCATACACTCCTAGTGACTGAGTTAAGGTATTGCTTTTGCAACTTTTGATGGTTTCCTTTTAAGAAATAAACGCAGAGACACCCGTTGAATCATAGTGATTCACGTGTTTTGGCAAATATTTGTACAGTGAATACATCAACTTACTGGAATTATACAAGTGATATTGGGTAATATTCTAGGTTGCAGGATTTGGGGCCAAAAGAGTTCAGTAAATTTCCACGTCCTTTCTTCCCTCACTCCCTCGGTCCCTCCCTCTCTCTGTCCCTCTAACCCAGAGGCAGCAAGGTGTCTTCTTCAAACTCTTCAGTCTTTTGTTTCAGTGTCAGGTTTATTAGCATCGGCTACGAAACAGTCTGTCAAAGTTGTGTGTGTTGCATATTTTACACACCTCTAATATGAGGACATCTAATATGTGTGTAGCTTTTGTTAAAACTCCTCTCATTATCAATGTCATCATAGTCCTCACTGTTGTTGTTCATGTTCATTGTACCGTGCTCATTTTAAGTGTATAAAATAATTACATCGATCACTGTGAGTCTGCTTCAACCTCCCATATTTACAGTGAATTTTCTAACCTCTGCTCAGTCCCCGACTACTTTGAAAAAATACATCTGTTTTTTGTTAGCTCCCTGATTGGTAGTTTAATTGCTTCACTTGGGCTACAATTAGCTTTAGCGAAACGCTGATTGAAGACGACAGATTGTTATACCTGACCTGAATGCTTTGACCACACAAATTCAAATGTAGCTGGCCGGCCTCCCTTCTCCTCTCTTTTATTCCCTCCTTTGTGGCCCTTGAGTTTCAACACAGACACACCTCTCCTGTGCTTTCCTGAATGCAGTGTTGGACGCGGGCCAGTTGATTTCTGCCAGGAAGTCTTGAATGAAATGAAATGTTGTTTATGTGAAGGACAAACGGTGAAATACTCTCCAATTGTTCTTGGGTTTCTTCGCGATCGTGTCGATGAAGTGTTTTCCCTTACCTACATATGTGCAATAAACAAAGTCTCCGCAGTATGACGATGATTATGATGACCTGTCTTTGACAAGCCTGAGAGGACCTCACAAAGTCATAACATCTGAGACCAAAACTAAATTGAAGTAACAGATACTTTTGCGAGACTAATTCTGTATTTGTTTCAGAGCTGTAATAATCCCAACCACACACTGCCAACAAGTCATGTAGCTCTGCTCTTGTTCTCTCCACCCTTCTGTAGTGGATGTGACCGTCAGCAGTCAGGTTACCTTGCCCTCACGCAGGGAGCAGCCCATGGACCTACGTGTGACGCAGAGGTTGCTACATCCAGGCCCAGATACGGTGATGCTGGCCCCCCGAGCCCCCTTCTTTCTGGGACCCCTCAACTCTCAGCATTGCTCACAGTTTCCCCAGCGGCGTTTGCAGGTTTGGAAAGAAAAAACAGCCAATAAACTAAACTTGAGTAGCAGTTTTTGTTTCCCTGAATTACTAAACTAACTCTGACAGTCCGTGATTCTTCGATATTTTTTTGCATGAGTACCATTTTTAGAGACCTGCTATTCTTTGTGGAACTTCAGAACAAATTGGTTAGCTAACCACATTCTCTCTAATGACAAGCCTTCTGTAGATCCCAGATCAACTGGTAAAGTGTTTGTAAACCTCTCTGAATTTATTTGTATGATCATTTTAGTCTTACTTCATATCTAAAGTTCCAAAACTAAATTCAAGTTTCTAATTTTTTTTTTTTTTTACAAAATGAAGGAACCTTTCTTCAAATGCAGTTTATATAGTTGCACCGTCATAAACTGTCTTATTCCAAAGATTTGTTTCCAAGTCCTGTGGCACTGTTTCCTACTGTAAGAGCTACAAAGGCTAATTTAACAAAATAAATGTCAAGCGTGTTTGACCTCTTATAAGGTCTTCTCAATTACAGTAGAGAGAACAGGGATCATATTCATATCAGGTTGGTTGAAGTCAGTTAATGAGTTAATGATACCTAAGGTGAAGTGAAAATAATATGTAAAGAAATGATAATGGTCTATCTAAGTAGTCAGGTAGCATTAAATGAATTGGCTGCTCTTTGCAGCCCTAAATCTGTATGCACAGTTTCTCAGAGGTTGAAACACTTGTGGTGCATGTTCCCATTTGCATAGTGTGAATAGGATGCTCGTAAACATCTGGTAATATTTGTGTTCTCTCTGTCCACGCAGTATAACAGCGAACAAAGGCAGCGAGAGATGGAAGAGGAAAAACGAGAAGAGCTACAACAGCTGATTCGAAAGAATAAAAATGAGCAGAGTGAGTGTCGTACAGGACTTGGCCATATTGTTTTTCAGAGGCTCAATGGAAAAACCTTAAGAATGTCTGCCACTGGTTTCTCATCTGCGTCACACCACACACACACACACACACACACACACACACACACACACACTGCATGTTTTAGTGAACAGGGAGGGAATTTCCAACGTCACTGTGATGCTTCCAAGGCATTGCTGATTAATTTCAACAAATAGAAACAAGAATATTTTAACATGATGAAAAAAAATGGTAAAAATCTAGTCTTCATTGTTCTTCCTTAGTTCCCATCCAGTTTAATGGACAGATAAACAGACAACTGTCATGACAGTACACAACGGAAATGCAGTTGAGCAGCGGAAAATTGATGCAAAAATATTTCTGCCTTGTTACGTTTCAATTGACTCTTCTGTTGATTGACAGGTGCTGTAGCCAGTCCTCTGGTGAGGCAGAAACTCAGAGAACACATAATAATGAAGAAGCAGCCCAACCATGACAGGGTGACTCCCAACCACAACAGCCCATCTCCAGGTTACAGGTGAGACAGGATCTCTGAGCTGTGAGAAGCGAGAATTCTGACCCTTTTGTTTAAGGTTCCCCGACAAAAAATTGGTCAGTCTTTAACACTGTTGTCCTACCCGTCTTAGTTGTTTGGTAATACAGCGTAAATACAAAGCAAAAATACACGACACAAAAAGTCCGACTGTCCAACACCGATTTGTCTTTTAATGCAACGTTGAAACACTTAAACCTGAGCATACCTTAACGCCTTGTGCTTTGCTTAACATTGTTGTAGTAACGTTTGAGCCAAAGACAGATGAAGGCCATGATGCAGAAAAGTGCAGCAGCTGGAGAATAAGCCACAGATACTGTGGTGTCTGCGCCCAGGGCAGTGTCAAGTCCAAATATCCAGTAATAAAGGGTGGTTGCAGGCAGTTGTTAACATTTCAAATTATTAACATACAAATACAAGACAGACAGACCTGTTTGTGTGTATAGTACATTTGGGTCTAATTTAAATATCGACTCATGGAAGCCGAGCCTAACGAGCCACAGCTGGAGAGGGACCTGCTCAGAGTCACGCGTAGCAACAGGTAGCCCCTGGAGCTCAGCACAGTTAATATAGTGATCTGTCTTTCACAGCAGCACAAAGTGATGACATTACATTACTAATGTAACTACACTTTTGACATTATAACAGTGGACTAGACAGGTGTTGGTTGAAGTCAGGTACCTGTCTGAGTTAATAGTCAACACTGGAGTAAAGTCATGTTACATAACACTAATGATATTGATATAATGGTAATGATATTCTCAGCCGGACCATGACATTGTTTTGTGACATAAATTGACAGATCTCAGACTTCCATATTATGGACAGTTGTATTTTCAGGCTGCTGAATTTGACTTTACTCATTGACAGACCATTAAATCTATTTTCTTTCTCCTGAAATGACCTTTGTTCACATACTGTGATTTTTCAGAGTGCCCCCCCCTCCTTCACGAGCAATATTGCATCCACATTTTTGCTGATTTTTTTTTTTTTGTCTCAAGGACGTCATATTTATTTTTGAATATTCAGTGTAATCCTATGCCAGTGTTTACAGTTTCATTGCAGGGAGAGAGATATTATCAGTTCTGCTGGTCTCGGCTCTTTCTCTGTATCTGTGTCAGATGTATCGATTGGTGCCAGCTGCTGAGTCTGTTTGGCTGTCAAGGAGAAAACTAGATCACCCACATCCAGTAGTACAGATGCCCTTATAGGCTACTTCACTATGACAGCAATAAAGAGATATTTGAAGCAAATTGTTATACAGAAATAAGGAAAAAAACAAACTTTTTCTACAACTATCATAGTTGCTAAATGTCTGCACTTTATAAAAGTGATTCATACTGTAGCAGCACGCTTTACTTGATTTTTGATGGTTTTGTGAACAAAACGCATTTTGGGAAAGCTATTAAACTACCAGCTACTTTCCTTAATATCTGTCAAGGTAAACAGTTGTTGGGTGAGTCTAAAACACAGACATGCATTGGCTTTTCAAGTCTCTTAGTGGCAGCTAGAATGACCGTGTTCTGCTTTTATAAGTAGAAGTTTTCTTCCCAACTTAAATGTTACACCAGGCTGCTCGGTCTCTGTCTGATAACCTTTTTTGCTCATCTTCTGAACTTTTGATGCTCATTACAGTTTCAAGTGTCACTTACAAATGTGTAGTTGGTTTACCTGTCTTTTTTGGTATTTAAAATTGTACACATTTTATTTAATTTCTGTATGCCCAATTTTATTTTGTGCACATAGAGTGTCGCCAAAGCCCCAGCCTCCAACATGTGACCAGCGTAAAGACTTGGCTCTGCGTCGAACAGGTGAGATGATGAGAATGAGGATTTGTTATTTTTGCCTTCTTTTTGAATCAATACAATCTTACGGCAAGTCTCCCTCTCTGGATTCCTCTCTCTCTCTCTCTTTCTCTTTCTTTATTTAAACATAAATACATATTTGTGCATGGTAATCTTGACAGCGTTAGTCACAGCGCCACATAAGGCTAAAGGAACTTATAAAGTAAACACACACCACAGGGATTTCAGAGTCACAGCTCAACAATACTGTGAGACACTGACTGAGGCAGTTATATAACTTTAATAAAGGCATGTGTAAAATGAACTACGTGAGAGGCCAGAACAGGTCTCCCTCATCATGTGAATGGGAGTGGTTTCACTTCTTCAAGTGAACAAATCATTAAAAAAAGCTTTTATTTATTGGAGATGACGGCATGTCAACAGAAACACACACGCCCTCTGGTGTTGTTTTTGGCGTGCTGACAACACACAGCTGCTTTTCATCCAGTTTGTGCCAGTCGCCCTATTTGAATTTTTTATTTATTTATTTATTTATTTTGTTCAAGGGATTTGGAGTCTGCCCAATGTAAACTAGAACCTTCTTTATTCATGGTTGCTTGAGGTGCTTAGTTTGGGTTTGCTGTGGATTCATTTTCAACATGGCACAGTGGGGGAATAAATGGTTGGATGGATATTAAAGCGTTATGATGTACATTACTGCTAAGGTACTGTATATGTAGAGTTCATATTTTTTAACCTTTGTCTCTGTTTTTTTGTTTTTCTTTGCTTGTGCTTCTTTGCCGTGTTTCGCTGTATTCAGTCTCTGAACCCACTCTGAAGTGGAAGCTCAAGAAACTTATCAATACAAGACCCAACCCGCTGCAGCGAAAGATCAGCGCTCCTCCGGCTGTCAAGCACCGGACAGAAACTCTGGGTAGAGTATCTTTTTCATAACCTACTCCTTTGGATTTATGTTTTTGGCTCTCTTAGATGTTTCTGATTAACCGCACTGCTCTGATAAACCTCTCTGATGATTCCTACCTAACAAAGAAGAGATGTTCAATCATTTTAGAAACATATACATTTTTAGCATTTAAATATAAAAAATCATAACATAAAACTATTTGTTTAACATTGATGTATTATCTTATATATTTTTTAATTCATTCTCTTAACTTTAATCATCCAACATCACTCAATGGCTCAGTCGGCCACAAAAACACAAAAATGTTAAATAATTACATGACTCACACTTTGTAGGGTTATTTCTCATTTTCATATATTATTAATATTTTTTGAAAAATATTTTCTAACATGTATTTTTTTTTTGTCTTGACCAACATATTCTGTGGTCCAGACTCGTCTCCCAGCAGCAACAGTAACTCAGCATCAGGGTGCAGTTCTCCCAACGACAGCCTCCATTCAGAAAACGGCGCCCTCCCACATTCACATGAGGTCAGTGGTTTCTAACAGTACTATTCCAAAAATGTTATCAACTTCTTTCTGCTTTCTTTTTTTATATTAGTAAAAAAAAGTATTTAGAGGTCATAGGTCAAATTAGCATAACGAAGGCTTTAATTAATAAGACTGAGCTGATATCACTATGCAGTTTACTGGTGCAGTAAGGATGGCTACAAAATAGAGAATCTACTGTAATACAAATACTTTATTTAACTTGCCTGGTATATTTGACTTTGTTTAGTTTATTTCTTGTTACACTTTCAGAAAGGTAATACTAATCGATACTACAATCAAGATATTTTGTCAGTTTTGTGCTGGCATTAATATTTGCCTGTGTGACAAAAATGAAAGAAAAGCAGCTCTTATTTACCCAAGTTTAGAATTCCAACAGTTAGACTGATTGCTAAACAAACTGCAGTTTGTATATTTTTAGTGGAAACAAACAATGTTGTCTTAGTCATGAGTCCTTCACATTCAGTCTCCGAACAGACGGTGAACTAATCTGTTTCCTTTTCTCGTCTAAGTTTGTGTCTGAGTTGTTTCATATTTAAAAAAATGACTTGTGTTTTTCAATAGAAAATGCTTCTTCTTCAGGCACAGCGACTGATGCTGAAAGACAGCAGGGTGGCCCATTTAGCTCTGCCTCCAGATCCTGCTGCCATGCCCAACATCACTGCCGGGAGTCCTACACACGTGAGTAACGATTAGTCACGGATACACTGTACTTTTGCCAACAAGAACTCCAAATAGTTCTGACTAGTAAAAACAGTAGTTGACTAACTTCATGTGACAGTGTCACAAGTGGAAGTGGATGTCTATAATAGCTTCTGCACACTTGGACTTTATTTCACTTCCTCCATGGTGATCATGTGGAATTGAATTTGCATTGTTCCTCTGTGCACCAGAAAATCCCTTTCCACTGTGGAAAACAGTCTATTATCTTAGGTCAGTGGTTCTCAAACTGTGGTACCGTACGCAAGCGCTCTCTAGTACGTGGGGAAAATTCATATTTTTACATTTACATTTTCAACTGAATAAATCTGAAATATACCATGCATAATTAATACAACATTTAAACATAAACATCTTTATAAACATCTCTCCTGTCTGTTGGAAGCTAACAGTGAAGGCCTCTGCTGCTATATTCTAATGTTGGTCATCATGGTGGTACTCAGTTTGTGCCAATGTGTTTTCTCAGGTGGTACAGAGTAGAAAAAGTTTGAGAACCACTCTCTTAGGTGTATGTGCTCGCTGCCTCCATATTTATTGTTCAAAAGGTCAGATGAAAAGTTGCAGATGTCGTGATTACATACTACTACTAATAATAATAATAGTACAAATGTAGCTTTGTTATTTTTATGACTAAGGTTTATAGAACTTTTTTGTATGTCTGAAAATGATGACGACGACATTACTCAGTGACCCCTCCACCCCATTACTCACCTGTCTTTCTTTCCTCCCTCCTTCCCTTTGCCAGGCCAACCTGCGAAGACCCAAACCCTTGCCACTGTCTGCTCTCCATCACGTCTATGTTCCTCTGGAGCGCAGCAGCCCAGCGATGGCCCAGCACCTGCAGCCGGTTCTTTTGTTAGATCCACATACTAGGCTGGTCCACCCACAGTTTGTCTCCTGTGAGTCATACAAAGTGTTTTACAAACATGTTCAAGTTTCAACATCACGATATTCCAAAAAAAAAACATGAAATCACATTTTGAGAAAGGTTGGCGGTTATTTCGAATGATGACTAAAGCCATTTAGTCACTGTTATTTCTAATGGTGACTGAAACATCAGCAGAAGCACAGATCAACCTGTCATTTTTTACATTGACTAAATTTGTTCTCAGTATTATTAAGCTGATATTTTTATTTACTAATAATATCTAATGAATAAAAGTGGTTTCATTACATTTTTCACTTTTACTGTTTTAATTGTTACGGTAATAGTATTCTATAGTATTGTAACCTTTTCACCACGCACATATTGTAGCATTGGAGTTGTAATTACACACAAGTTTAAGTTCCTAATGTTGGGGAACCTCAGTCACAAACAATACCTTTGTAAATTTTTTTATTATTTTTTTACTTGGATGGAATCTATACTTCCACATAAACAATTCCTTGCTGTTTGAACTATACTCATTGTTATTAACAGCACAACAGCGCCCTCTACTCTTAAATCAAAGTGACGCAATTTGCGAATAGAGAAATGCTTGTTTGGATTAGACTCCTACAGACACCTTCACTGTCTCATTTTTATCCGACTGAAAAAAAAATGTAATTTACTGTATTTGGAGCATAAGTAAGAAACATTTTAAAAAGACACTGTTTAGTATGTTTAACATGAGTTCTTCTGTGGATAAACAGAGCGTGACCTCAGTGGACATTATGCTCTGAGCATTCATTCTGGTTCCCAGTTATATAACATTTTCTCACCTTCTCTGTGCAGTTCATGGTTTGAGCTCCATTCCTCTTCAGCAGCAGCCTCATTCCTCGTCTCCCTCCAGAAGAGAAGCAAGAGAAGGCTCAGTCACCCTGCCCTCACACAGGCCCGTGGAGCGAACACGTTCAGAACCTCCACCTTACAGCCACCCGTCCTTTACCCTGCAGGCAGCCCAGCATTCACACACTCAGCAGCAGCTGCTCCAGCAGCACTACAAGAGGGAGCTAGAGAGAGCCATACAGAGTTCACTTCTAAATAAGGTGAGCGGAGGCGGATATGGACACACATTTTTGACCTCTTGTGGATGGAACCTTTTTTTTTTTTTAAAGTACTTTTAATATAGCAATTATGCATTAAAGATATATATAAATTATTTAAAAAATAAATTCTCTAAATTTAATTTAGAAGCTTCACTCGTATGTGCTTTTGCTTAGTATTAAGGTAATTTTTCATGGACATTTTTTTAACCTTAGTATTTATTATTTACTTAAACATTTCATGAATTTAAATATAAAAATTAAATAATGTCATGAGTCATGTTTGACCAGAAAAATTATATATTAAATAACTAAGAAACTAATATTTCATTTTTTTATTCTTAATAGTCTTCAGGCCAGTCTATGGAGAAGCAGCGTCTCACCCAAATACCATCAGAAGACATGGATCTGGAGGAAACAGGGTCTGGAACAGGTTCCAGGCCCGGGTCTGTGTGTGGCTCAGAGCACGAGTCGATGTGTGATGACAACTACCACAGAAGACGCAGCACAACGAGCACCGACTCCGTTTGTGGCACAGAGTCCACCACCTCATCACGGGACAGTTTGATCGAGTCCTCCCATGTCACCCACAGTCAGGTAATTCTAGGGTGAGGTTTTATTTTTCCTTCTCTGAAGCCTTTTTCGACTCTGGGAGATTAATTGTGTTTATATGTAATTCAGCTTTAGTTAATGGCCTCAGCAGCGTAACAGTAAATGTTGAGTGGACCACTGTGATCTCAGTCAGCAACTTTGGTGGGACCCCACATTATAGCCTCCAATTAAGCTCTCAGAGTATGATCACTATATGTCACTTTTTTTAAGTACTGGTATTTATTATGTTATTAATTTAATTAATTATTAAGCGTTAGATAAATGCTTAAAAAGAATAAGTATCCCCTCTTCGCACATTCATTATTTCTTCGCTTTGACATCAGAGGGCGCTGTTGCTCTTTTTTTTTTACAACATGCAAGGCTTGTAAGAGTGAGCGCTGTTAGAAGATAATCTAATTGTTGAAATAATGCAGTATTGAGCTGAGTGGAATCATGTTAGAGTTTTGTGCTACAGCAGATCAACGTGTTGCACTCTGTCTTTTTACCTAAACCACAGCGACAGCTGATACTGGGTCCAGGAGTTCAGATGGACACTCTGAGTGTTCCTACCGTAGTCTGGCCTCACCAGCCTCTGATCAGGACCCGGTCCTCCCCTGCCTCTACCTCTCTGCCTCCTTCACATCCGGCCAGTCTCATTCCTTCTCTGACGTTGTCCAGCCCAGCAGACGTTCAGCTACGCTTCACCACAGGTGCAAAATTTTTTTTTTTTTTTTTTTTATACAGTCAATCTGCCTGACTTTAAAAAAAAAGTCACATGCACATGTGACCAGTATTAAATAATGAAGAAGTAACGTTATGAGGTCAAGGGTTTGATGTGCTTGTTTGTTGTGTTGTAGGACTGGTCTATGACTCGCAGATGCAGAAGCACCAGTGTACCTGTGGGGACAACAGTCGTCACCCTGAGCATGCTGGGAGGACTCAGAGCATCTGGTCCCGACTCCATGAAAGAGGCCTCAGAAACCAGTGTGAGGTAATGGCCTACGCACAATTAGTGAGTGCTGTGTAGTAGCTGCGACGGCCTCCATTGATCCTGAACTGAGCCGTTACTACTACAGTAAATACCCTTCTGACATTATCATTTTAAATAAGAGGAAATATCACCGACCGCAGTCGGAGTTGCTGCAGCTGCTTGTAAACACAGCATAGCAATTAAAGGCAAACCTCGTTGGCAAGTTTTAAGTCAGTTGACTCTGCTTTTTAATTATTTTTTTCAATAGGATGCCATGTGATTTTGACTTCAGTAATTATGGAATGTAAAACCACTCCTTGACTTACTGCACCTCATCTTCATGTCCATACTTGTCATGTGTTGTGACAACTGTCACTGTTTAATGACTGAAGATTCCCTGTGAACAGTTAGATGCGGCTGTTGTTCTGAGTATTATAGTATGGACTTGACTAGTACTATCTTTGGAAAACGTATATTTGTGGTCTGGTTTGATATAATGTATTTGTGTCGTTTTAAGAAAAAAATGTAATATTTGTTTTACATTGCACTTGTACTGATAATGTACATGGACATGGACTTTCTATTTTACCTACAAAACTGCTTATGCAACTGACACAAATCCACATATTCCAATGCCTATGAAATGAATAGTGTTCAATATACAGACAGTTTTTTTGTGTCTGTGTGTCTGTACGTAGTCTCTCCGAAGTAGGAAGGCCACACTCGATGAGCTGCAGTCAGTGCACTCGGAAAAACACGCGCTCCTTTTTGGCACCAATCCTCTCAACCGCCTCAAACTGGACAACCACAAGCTAGCAGGTAAAAAAAAACAAAAAAACAAAACAGTGGATAAATAAATAACTAATAATACTGATTAAGTATAAATTGTCTCCCACAGGAAATTTGGCTCAACAGATATTTGTTGTGTTGCCCTGTGGAGGACTGGGAGTGAGTAACATATTTATATATACACACACACTTGTGCTGTGATTGCAGAATCACTTCTGCACACAACCAACTACGCCCGATTATAGTGTATAATGCCATAATACACTGTTGCTATTATTTTTGGCTAACATCTCTTTCAAACGCAAAATTTAGGGCTGCCCAAAGGTGAGTTGTGGAAGCTGGCAAAGAAAAAGAAGAAGGGCGAATAGAATGCAGCTGGGAGAGATGTGTGTGTGCCAGTGAAACTGGATTTTATTTTAGGGAATGAGTGCTGGCAATCAGGGAATGATGTCACAGATGAAGAAAAGATAAAGATTTGGAGGTAGCTGAAACGATTAAGTTTAATAGTGGAACAATTCAAGGAAAAAAGATCAAGAAGAAGAGAGGAGGGGAGGAAGGCAGCGGTCCGTCAAGGGATGTAGCCGATGAACTGCAGGGATTTTAGAACAGTGATTGATCTGCTATAGTGAGGCGATTGGTACAAGATGCCAAAGTCTGTGATGAAAGCAGAGGTTTTATGTCATGCCATAACAATATTTTATTGTGATTAGATAAAACATGTGTAAAAAAGCCTTCGCAGCAGTATAAATTCACAATTACAGAAATATTTTTATATTGACATTTCACCAAAATTCACCTAACACATCAATCACTCTTTGTGTGTGTTATACTTTTTTACTTTGCTACTACAAAACAGCAGTTCAGCAAATTTTATTGAATTTGTGTAAGTTCCAAAAACTGCCAATAGGGGACTCCCTGTTTGCCATCAACTTGCTGAGTGAGACTGTTTACTAAGTCTGGGGTTCAGCTCTGATGCCTCTGAACCTGAAACTGACGCATCTTTCTAATGGTTTTGATTTTCACTGCGTCTGAATTCAACAGCTCCACAGTATGTGACTGTGTCCCCACTCTCCCCACTGACAGGTGGACGTTGATACCATCTGGAATGAACTTCACACATCAGCAGCTTCTCGTATCGCTGCAGGATGTGTCACAGACCTGGCGCTTAAAGTAGCACAAGGCAAGCTGAAGGTGGGTCCCTGTGAGCAGACCCTTCATCAACCCTGACATCTGTCTGTTCTTAGTGTTGTCTGTAATAAACAACATGCAATGAAGCACACTGGAAAAATAACACAGTTTGAAACTGGGGTTTTTTCTGTCACTGTGAGTTACATTGTGGGTCATTTTTATTAAATAGAGTAAAGCTGAATTAAGACATATATAAAACATCTCTCCAGCTACCTCAGCTTTAACAAACTTTAAGCCTGCTTCTTCAAACATTTTGCAGCTAATTTTTCAATAAGGTTTAATAAGGTTGGGCTGCAAGTTCTAAAGTCTGGATGCTTTTAAGTTCTTTTCATTGAGTGCCTTGGAAGTGAAACACTTTAATTTTATGCTTTTTTTAAAAAAATGTTTCTTTTATTCGTGTCCAACCTACAGCCCTTTTAATTTTATTTAGTGAACAATAACAAGGCTAAACGGTATTAATGTTAATTTTTAGTCACTTCTGGCTATTGTCTCTCACTACCTAAATTTAATTTACTATTTCTTTTATTAATGTTGCAGGTGTGTTTTAGATTCTGCATAAAAATGAGCATACAGTACCTACACCTATAATGACCCACATGACAAAAGACATGGCAGTTATTATGTGTGATATTATATGTGAATTATCTTAGAGCAATATTAAAAGCTAAGTAAATATAAAAAAAATATTATTATTATTATAAAAGGAAATTTTCCCTCAAACTGAATTCTGAAACAGCAGTTTAAACATCCATGTTAATTAGACAGGAGTGTAAAAACCACATCACGCCACAGGTGTTTCCGTCAATGATTATGAATGAATGTTCTCTTATCTTACAGAATGGCTTTGCAGTGGTCAGGCCCCCCGGTCACCACGCGACCAAGTCCTCCCCTCAGTGAGTACAGTGCACACGTACCAACACAAGCAAGAGGTGCAGTTCGGTATGAGCGTGTGTGTGTGTGTGTGTGTGTGTGTTTACAACCGGCCTAATGCTTTTATGATGAAATACCTCCAACACTTAGTATATTTTATGGTGACAGGGAGGCACAGACAAAGAGCACCCCACCCCCCAAAGGGCAGTCTATACAATATATATGTGTGTGTGTGTGGGTGTGTGTGTGTGTGTGTGAGCGAGCATGAATTTGTCTCCATCTCTGATAGAAGCCATTAGCCAAGTAACCACAGTCAGCTGGGACTGTGTTTGCTCAGCAGAGCTTGACACTGGTTATTTATGAGATGATAATGGCTTTTTTTTGATGAGCAGAGTTGAACAGTATATATGAAATACTGTCCACACACACACAAACACACACACTCACACAGTTTACGACCTGTGCTGACACTGCCACTTCCAACATTCCTCCCTTGTTTTTCATACATCAACACTTTTTTTGCATACCTACACTGTAGACAATAAGTGTTGAAGGAACTCCTGTGCCAAGTTCTTAGTTCATCTTTCTCCAATCATCTCACATGTGCTGCCAGAATTTTACACTCTGTTACATTTGGAATGTGGAGTGGCTTTTTAAGATAAGCTGCGTTCTACTTGTTTGTCACAGATTCTGTGGTCTCAGTATTGCTCAGGAGTGCAGAGTTCTAGGCTCAGGAAAAATGTGTAATGCCAAAGACATTTTTCTTTGTCAGCTTGGAAATTGATACAAAACAGGTTAAAACACCCTCATTTTTCAGCAATGTGTGTATTGAAATGTTTACATGGCAAGAGTTCCCCCTCTCTTTTGACTTGGACATTGAAGTCAATCCTCTGATTCGTCATGCCCTTGAATCAATAACCTCCACATGAACCAGCTCACCACCAAGATGTCTCCGAGGTTCCAAGGGTTCCCATGGTGCATCTGTGATATTAATGAAGCGAAGATGTCCACATAACAACATGTGCCTGCCTTTCTTCCTGTCTGTTTGTCCACAGGGGCTTCTGCTTCTTCAACTCTGTGGCTATCGCTGCAAAGCAGCTTCAGCACAAACTCAACGTCAGCAAGATCCTCATCGTGGACTGGGTAAGGACCCACCACATGACCGTCAACGCTGGTCACCACATGGGCAGGAATTAAAAAAAACAAAAAAAAAAAACAAGCACACAAATGCTTCACTGGCACGAACGTGGTCCCAGAAGCGCAGCACCCTTGTACAGTAGCACTGCTCCTTATTATTTAGTCGTTCATTCAGACACTGGTATCTCTGGTCTCCATGTGTGATGAGCACTGACACATATGCAAAGAATAGGCAGTTATACACAGTTATAGCAACACACACACACACACATGCACGTGTGTGTGCAGATATTGATGCACAGCCAGGTGGTTTTGTCTCTGTTTACCATGTGTGTCTGTATATTGTTCTCAGTCAAATACAGGGGAGAAACCCAGATGGAAAAGGAAAAGAGAGGCTCCTTGTTCTCGACTTTCAAAAAACCGTCAGCAATCACAATGACACCATTTTAACAGTATATTTAAAACACACTGATAGGCTGAAGATCTGCTGGCAGTGTGATCACAGAGGGTTCACGCTGAGGTCGGTCTACATAAGTGCTTCTATAGCCCGACCTAAGTGACTTAAGGGTTTGGGACCAACGTGACGGAAAATTGATGGTTTTCTCTCATGTAGCATGTTGTCGTCAAGTACAGTCAAAGCCGCGTCTGCTATAACTCATCCCTCCCACACAGAAAGTCTAGTACGATGTAGAAAACAATTTAGTTTTCTGCGATGTGTTCTGACTTGAGTGAAGATCAGGGTGTTTTTTTTTTAATTCCTTTGTCTGAACACAAACCAGCCGAGAGGAAATGACCTTGACCTCAACATCACTGGCAATCTGGGTAGTTTGCTCAGTTTTTAACCACAGTTAGTCCCACTCAGACACTCGGTGGAAAGGCACTCAATGCAAACATAGGCATAATAACACAAGTCTTATTTTTACAACACAATACAGAATCTTCATCTGATACAAAATAAAAACAAAACCCTTGATGTTCTACTGCTGCATTCCTCGGAGGCTTGACCTCAACTGTACTGTACTGTAACTGCCCTGAGCTGAACTATTTACATATTCCAAGTCAACAAACTCTTGAAAGGAAAACTAAATCACCGATGCGTGCATACACTGAATACAATCAAACAACATCTAATGAAAAAAATAAACCTAAACACGTAGATGTACTTGGCTTTTTTTCTGAACGTCACCCAAACTTGACCACCATTTCAAAAATCTCTTCAAACCCAACTTGAAGCATTTCTTGTTCCAGTGGAATAGATCAGGTTTCCACGCTGGAAGTTCCAACTAATTAGTAGAATTTACCATTCAAAGTATGAAGTGTTCCTAAAAAAATAAACAACAGATTTTCCTATTTTTTTTTTTCAACTCTCTTCCCCTTTTCTTTCACTCTCGTTTTCTCTGTTTGATAAAGACAGAGAACTGAGCATTGGTCAGATCAGGTTGAGGACCAACGTGTACCTTGGTGGAGTGTCTGTCAAGTCATAGCAAGGATGTTTGGGTCTGTGAGAGACGGATACCTACCGTACTAAATAAAGGATTCTGTAGCATGACGTCAGGGAGAAGGATCCTGTGAAGCTCTCCAAGTCCAATGTCTTACGCAGGACAAGTCAACTAACAACATCCACATAAACACTCGCACTCATTATCATCCAATTAGACGTCCACACCTGCAGAACATTACATCTCTGAGCGCAGTCAGGGAAACAAAGGGTCACGCAATGGTCAACGCAGGACTTTTAGGAGTTAAAATTTCCAATATTTTTTCACATGTTCCTCTTTTTTCCACACTTCTGTGGCAAACACTGACGTGGGATGGCTGCAGGTCAATAAGGAGGAGGTCCACGTGGTCATCCCCTTACCAAAACTGTAAAAAAGTGTTTCTGCTGATTAGAGTTAAAAGTACTGCTAGCTCTGTCTCTTACAACCAGAGTACCAGGTTAGAATGGAGCTGTATGCCGATGTGTCCCGAGGCAGTATAAATATATCCAGGCTGCCCAGGGTTCTTTAGGAGTTTTTTCTCTGTGTTAACAACCTTAAATCATATGTTCTTTATCAGAAAGCCTGACTGCTGTGTGCTGTGCTGGTCTTATAAATGTATATATTTATCATCCCTTGGTTATAGGACGTTCATCATGGCAACGGCACCCAGGAAGCTTTCTACCATGACTCCAGCGTGCTCTACATCTCTCTGCACCGCTTTGACGACGGCAACTTCTTTCCTGGGAGTGGACACCCCAGTGAGGTAGACATGAAACAATGCTGTGTTGTTCTGCCTTTGTTTGTGTTGCCATGGCGATGGCTGGGTGTTTTGCGAGACACTGCTTGCACCTAAATTCCTGCAAACACAATAACTTAAGGAGCCGCCTGTGTAGGCACTTATAAACAACTCCACTTCGTGAGATTGTTTCTAAACAGACGGCACTGGCTTTTTTGCTGATCTCACTTTGACTGTGGAGGACACTGTGTGATTAAATGCGCTGCCCACGTCCATTGAGAATGATGTGTTGACAAGGATATTTTATGAATGATATTAAAGAGTCAGGATGTGATCACAGTCATTAGTAAAGACGGTATTAATTATCTTAACGGCGAAAGGAAAAAAGGGAGAGGAAAACAGAAACAGAAATGCCCGTCGACCGTCTTTTTTTCATCAGTCTACATATGTAATGTCAGCAAAATATCAATTTATGTGTATAGACCAAAGTCACAAAACAAAGTTCTTCTCAATCGACTTTACTGTTTGTAAATGTCTCAATTTCTGTGCAGGAGATTTTTTTTTTTTACCAATGACTTGGTGTCAAAGTTGGTAATATTTTACTTCTACCTCTAGAATCTAAATGCTAGAATCATTCATATTCATTGTTGGAATTACGTCAGAAAAAAAATAGTTCATATTATTGTGTGAGACGCCTGGTGGTGGTGACTGATGCATCAATGCATTTGTGAATTAGATGATCACACACATTCAAATCAAAGTCCAGGGGGGGGCACTTGTTGTTTCACAGGTGTGAAAAAGGTGTGAAAAAGGGAGCAAAGAATCTAGGCTTGTGATCAACTACAGTCAGTATCATGGAAAGCCAGAGGCCAAGGGCAAAAACCTCTGCTGAATGTGCATAAGCTTTAAGCTGACGCATAGTATTGCTCTGCAACGTCAAGATGGATGAAACTACATGTGGTCAGAAGTACTTACTGTTAAGTTCTCTGGACCTAAGCTCATTTGAAAGACACCTTTTTTCAGCGTTTTATAGAAAAAACAGACGGCGTTATCAAGACTTATCAACGACAGGTGCAAAGACCTGCTACAAGTTAAACTGTAGTGATGGCAGGAAGTGGGTTGTACAGGTTTATGGTCTGGTTAAACACCTTCATCCTTTTTATTGCCCTTATGACTGATTAACCACGGTTCATGTGCATTACTGAACTACAGACTAATGAGCAACTATCTGGACTCAGCATAATGTAAACAAATCACCATATACTGTTTGTAAATGTCACGATTACCCCCCACTTACTGTAGATCAACCTGTAGTGGTGTGAAACTGTTTGCCTCCCGCCCACCCCTGATCCTTTCCACTTAGTCTACAGTTTTCCCGCAAAATATTGTGGCTAAAATAGTCAGCATTTCCCATGAAATCTCCTGATGAAGGACGGTCAATAAAAAGCCTTGTCGGCTTGGATGTGGCTTTGCCTTAAGTGGCTTCTCAACCTCTCTTGAGCTGTGTGGTAAGCCTCTGGAGTCTCACTGTCCCCCATGTAGGTATATAACACACCATGGGGTCGGGGTGTGATGTCATAGCTATAACAGAGTGCCGAGCACCAAAAACGGCAGAGGCCCTAATCCAGTCCAGCCAATTCTGAAAGATGAAAGAGAGGAAAAGGACAGAGGAAGCAAAAGGAAAAAAAGAAGACTTAAAGCAATGGCAGGAACTGTATCTGTGCACGTGTGAGAGCACATGCTCGTGCACGCGGGTACATTACTAGTTGGCAGAGGACATGAGGACTCATGTGTTTTTGGTTTGCCCTGTGAACATCCCGTCCACTGAGAGAAGAATGGAGACAGACGCTCTGCGATGCTCATCAGCATTCCTCCTCTTTCAAACACCCTCTCACACCCATACGCATACGCACACACACACACACAAAGGAAATTACCAGGCGTTTTAGCCAAGAGCGTGTCAATCACCCTCCTCAGTCTTCCCTCAAACTGACACTTTGACTGATGGCAAAGGGCTTCGAGTGCATCTAAATGACTTCTAGCAGGACTACAAAGAGAGAGGCAGGAATCTTCTTAGACCTTGGTTCCAAGAACCAAGCCTCAGTTAACTCCGCCTGCCCCAAGTGTGTAAGGTCAAACTGAGAGTAGCATCACGCATCCAGAGAAGACACCGGTCTCAGGGGCGGCTAAAAATAGTCTAAAATGCGCGCACCAACATTCAAACTCTGAAGGAGTCGTTTTGTGATAATTCAGTTTTACATCACACGTACTCTTTGCCAAACGTGTATTTCTGACGTGTAAACAGAACATTTCACATGATTCAGTAAATGTTTAGGCAGTAGTTTCCAAGTGTGAAATATTTTTTGCTGTCTTGCTGTAGGTCAATGTACGGTACTATAAAACGACTCTTTTGAGGCTCGCAGTGATTTAATAGCGTTTTTGACAAATTGTATCAAAATCAAAATGGAGGGACAGGATTGAAGTATTAATATACAGCCGTCTTCCATTTAGGAATCATAATCACTCCCTGGTGTTGCCTTAAATAGATGCAGTCACTTTGCTGCAATGCACAGTTTTGCAACAGCTCTGCTGAGTTTGTGAACATTTGACACAAACCTGTCATCATCACATAGTTTGGCAGCTCTTTCTGAGATTCATTATTATTTTGACATTTACAGAGTTGTTTATTTTTTTCTTTCCTGGGGGCTCGTAAGAGTGCCTTGAATCTTTGAAAGTGCTCAAATTTTAGTTTTCTTTCAAGGTTTGAAAAAAAAGCTTACAATTTGGAGTGGGTGTTCGAAATGTGTAGCCAACCTGTTATAACAGACGAACAAATGTCATGACTGTTTTGTTTCTGTCAAATAGTTAACACAAATATATAGCAAATACTTATGAAAAAAATGAAGGATTGTTAAAACTGCATTTTCTTTTTGTTTTAAAGTAACTACAATACACTTAAACATCAAACCAAATTGTAGCTTTAAGTAAATAAATTGTGCCTACAATGGAACGCTAAAGTTGGCCAACGCTATTTTTAACATTAGTGTAATGTTAGATAAATTCATTTTAAAATGACAAAGTTAAAGCTAGCCAAAAGGCTGACAATCTCACAGCGGACGGCCAAAAGCACTTTGGCCGTCCGCTGTGAGATAAAAGATGACAAAGTGTCTTAACCTCCTTTTCTAAATCAAATGGAAGATGATTCCAAGATGATTCACGTCCACTGAAAGCTACAAATACTAAAAGTATTGAAAAAGATGGAAGAAAAATATGTTTGTATGTTAATAACTTTCAATCTAGAATATCTTAAATAACAGCTAAATTGTGTCTAACTCTAACCCTTATCGAACTCTCCTCATAAAAGTAACATTTTTTATAAAGCTCAAAAGGCAGCTCAGTGTTTGTGAAAAAGGTTTTTCTTTAGTTACAAAAAGTCCTTCTACTTTGGCATGGGTGAAGATGAGTGAAGTGTGTCTCTGTTCTTCACTTCATCTCCCTCCCTTCCTTCCTTCAGGTTGGTGCAGGAGCGGGTGAAGGCTTCAATGTCAATGTGGGATGGACCGGTGGTCTGGACCCTCCAATGGGAGATGCTGAGTACCTCGCTGCATTCAGGTAAAGTCTGTCTCAATTACCAACTCCTACTTCTAAGATACTACAATGTCACTTTACAATCGAGTTCAGGGACTGTATATTTGCCTTCCTTCTCGTCTGTAGTCAAGCAGCAGATCTTTTAATATAAATCCTAAAGCACCCAAAACAAAGCAGTACCCTGAATACTAAAAGAAAGACAACACAGCTGCATTCAGTCCTATTTTCCCTTCCCCCTGAATGACTGCTGAACATTTATAACTTTTATGTCAAGATTGTTTTTGTCAGTCGTTTGCAAAATACACTGATGGCACAGTTAAGCCGGTTAAGTTAATAGAATCTTAGAGCGTTCGTATAAACCAAGAAAGCAGCCCAGTGGAGATCAGAGGCAAAATGTTATTTTCATGATGAATGGGGGAAATTAGCTGGTGTTTTTTTTTCCTTACTAATATGAATGAAAGATGTGTGATGTGAGCCAAGAGAATAAACAGTAAACCATTATTTTGCTTTTCCTGTTTTAAGCCCACTCACATATTTTGGATGTCCTAACTTCCCATCTGCACTGGAATACAACACTCAAGTTTTATGTATTTGAGATTCATTTAATAATAGATTGTGTTCTGCGCCTCGGGCAGATCTGATGCCTGATTCCTTAGTTCCTCTTAAACACATTTGGCAGCAGTAATTGCTAAAAGAAATAGTTGCTTTTTTTTTTTAGTGGATGTATGACGTATCGACCAATAACCTCAGAGCTCAATGAACCATCATAAAACAGACGCACTTGATTTGACTGAAATGTAAATGCCATGATGAAACACACAGAGACATTTTGGCCATTTAACAAAGTCTTTGTTTCAAGAATAAAGAGAAAAAACACATTGATAGACAACAAAAATGCCATTTAGCCCAACCAGTTAACAGAATCCTGGTATTTGCTGAACACACAAAGGTTAGGGATCAAACAAACACCCCAGATCTCAAGCCTTATCCTTTATCTGCTCAGCCACAGATGTGGAGGAATTCAAGTTTTCTGTTTTTGTAAACAGAAAAGAAAATCCTCCAGAAATGTAGCGTTTTAAAGCCTGTTTTTCCAGAGACCACCACCTACTGGATGTACGATATATCTCACATGGTAACATGTATATAAGACAGTTGTCGGAGCAGACAGACCACTGAAAGGTTATGTTGGCTAGGTGGACTGAGCAATGAGCGCCGCTAGTCTGTGGTGCTGTACACATATGATACAAGACAGCAGCAGGAACATTGTTTTATGTTTTTAATTAAGTAAAAAAAAAAAGCAGCTTGTTTGTATGGATGTTGGTATGTATAGTAAGAGCGAGCGTTAAGCCCGAGTTTAAAGGCTGCTTTGATGACAGCAAGTTGACGTATGAGGGTCTCAGACAACTCTGACTTCAATAAACATCGACTGTCACTTTAAATCCACAAAACTTGTTGACTGAGTAAAATCGAATGTTTGTTGAAACAAGACGAGCCGTAACCTTATAATTAATCGGAGAACAAAGTCAGACTTTTCTCCTTCTCACGTTCCCTCTCTTTATGTCAGTCAAATCTTTTTCTTTTTTTTTTTCTGAATGAACTTTGTTTCTGCTCTGCACTTCGACAAACTATGTTTCTGTCCACAACATTGGCTCACCACCAGATGATTAAAAAGTATGTGAGCTCTTCGTGGTGTAGCACACACACACACACACACACACACACACACACACACTGGGTGGGCTGCTCATCACGGGGCGAGATGCTAATGAGCTACAACATACTGGTAAAGTCCATAGATCCAATGGGTGCATGGAAACACTGTGTCCAGTGTTTACTGGAGGCCGAGATGTTAATTAAGAGACAAGTTGTCCTTTCCTGTGAAAGCATCTGGTTTTTGGTATTTTTCATCCCCTATGGGAAACGGCAAGTTTTGTTCATGTGTAAAACTTCCTTACTTAACCGCACACTGCTGTATAGAACCTTTTTTCCCTGCATTAGCGCTCTGTGGAGGCGTGTTCTGGTGGTCCGGCGGTCTGTGGCACGTACCGCGTAGCTGTCATGTCCGTGGTGCATATCCGGCCAATGACCCGTGATGTAGGTTGACACGAGGAACAACCTTATATTTTCTGTCACTGCCAGTTGTGTGAAAATTGTATAATGTCATTTGATCTGAGGAACTGCAGCAGTAGAGTGATTTTTTTTTTTTAACTGTCTGTCAAAAATGTTGAAAAGGTCAAAAATTTGAATAAAAGTTAGTATTTTCTTTAGAAGTTCAACCTGCAATACAGTCAAAATTGAACGCATCATGAAGTTTAGGTTTATGTAGATTATTAAAAGGTTTGTAATAATAATGTTTTCATCTAAAATTTCTAAGAACAATAAAAAAAAAAGCAGCTTGTTTGTATGGATGTTGGTATGTATAGTAAGAGCGAGCGTTAAGCCCGAGTTTAAAGGCTGCTTTGATGACAGCAAGTTGACGTATGAGGGTCTCAGACAACTCTGACTTCAATAAACATCGACTGTCACTTTAAATCCACAAAACTTGTTGACTGAGTAAAATCGAATGTTTGTTGAAACAAGACGAGCCGTAACCTTATAATTAATCGGAGAACAAAGTCAGACTTTTCTCCTTCTCACGTTCCCTCTCTTTATGTCAGTCAAATCTTTTTCTTTTTTTTTTTTTGAATGAACTTTGTTTCTGCTCTGCACTTCAACAAACTATGTTTCTGTCCACAACATTGGCTCACCCCCAGAGTATTAAAAAGTATGTGAGCTCTTCGTGGTGTAGCACACACACACACACACACACACACACACACACACACTGGGTGGGCTGCTCATCACGGGGCGAGATGCTAATGAGCTACAACATACTGGTAAAGTCCATAGATCCAATGGGTGCATGGAAACACTGTGTCCAGTGTTTACTGGAGGCCGAGATGTTAATTAAGAGACAAGTTGTCCTTTCCTGTGAAAGCATCTGGTTTTTGGTATTTTTCATCCCCTATGGGAAACGGCAAGTTTTGTTCATGTGTAAAACTTCCTTACTTAACCGCACACTGCTGTATAGAACCTTTTTTCCCTGCATTAGCGCTCTGTGGAGGCGTGTTCTGGTGGTCCGGCGGTCTGTGGCACGTACCGCGTAGCTGTCATGTCCGTGGTGCATATCCGGCCAATGACCCGTGATGTAGGTTGACACGAGGAACAACCTTATATTTTCTGTCACTGCCAGTTGTGTGAAAATTGTATAATGTCATTTGATCTGAGGAACTGCAGCAGTAGAGTGATTTTTTTTTTTAACTGTCTGTCAAAAATGTTGAAAAGGTCAAAAATTTGAATAAAAGTTAGTATTTTCTTTAGAAGTTCAACCTGCAATACAGTCAAAATTGAACGCATCATGAAGTTTAGGTTTATGTAGATTATTAAAAGGTTTGTAATAATAATGTTTTCATCTAAAATTTCTAAGAACAATATTCTGGAATTTAAAAAAAAAAAACAACAAACAAAGATGGAGAGAGAGTCGCTGCTGATGGACAGAGTTAATAAGTACTTCCTGTGTCCCATTAAAGCGACTAAGATGAATCATTTTATATGATACTATGGTTTATAGTTGAGGAAACTGCAGATTAATGTTTGGGGTCTAGTATAGTACCGGCTTAGTAATTTACCATGAATACAGGACTGGAGGTATTTGTTCCACAGTGTTTTTTTTTTTTTCCTTTCCCCAGATGGAACAGGATGTGTGTGTTTGTGTGCGTGTGTGTGTGTGTGTGAAGGGTCTTTCGGATTGATGCTGAATTTGTAGTACAATCACAGAAGGATCTAATGCAGGATGATGAGGTATCATTACACAGTCTGTGTGTGTATACATGTAGGTGGAGGATTAGTCAAGAGGAAGATAAAGTCTAGTACAATCACCAGTAGCGGCTCGTACACGTACCATCCAGTTTTCATACAACTATCGTGTACACGTACTGTATATCTGAGCCTGAGTGAATAACATGGTTGGGCACATGCACATATTCTGATGTGCATTTCTTGGTGGCTACTGAGAAATGACAGGCTATGAAGGAAAGTAGAGAATACAACACAGGAGAGGCAGAAGAAGCGGGGGGTGCATTGTTAGGGAATCCAAAGGCGGCGTAATTAGACTCAATGGATCCCAGATGGCTGGCTGTCAGTGACGTGAGAAGAGGGACGAGCTCCTAATAGGAACCAGACGCTCGCAGCGTCTTTGAACTGCCGCTGAGGGAGAGAGGCAGAGCGAGGGGGAGAGAGAATCAAACGCGGCATGGGCCGTGCGCTCTTGCTAAATAACTGGCAGCGGGAGACGAGAGGAAGTGAGGAAAAAAGCAGAGAAGCGAGAAAAGTGGTCAACCCCAAGTGGAGTGTACAGTCTGTGGGTTTCACATCACAAATATGTCAAAGGTCTCTTTCGTTTCTGCTTGTGTCACAACAGTCCGTCCTCAGCGTTGACCACCAACCTCAGGTTGTCTGATGGTCTTTTCATCCAGATCCTTGTTTATCTGTGCTCCTCGTATATACAGTAGGGGTCTGCAGCCCACTGGAGCTGCTGTTGTTTTCAGCAGTGCTCTGCTTCACATTTGAAACAGTTGCACACACGTTCACACCTGGGAGCTACTCCACCTTGTAGACTTGGCTTCTTACCAGCAGTGGACGGAGAATGGAGATCAAGCAGTTGGAAGTCAGCCTTTGATAATTTATCTTTCATCATTTTCAAATGGAGAGCGTTTGCAGTGGAGTAAATGTTTGCAGTTAACAGTCGAGGCAAAAAAAAAAAGAAAAAAGCCTTTACAGGTGTTCCTGGTGCAAATCAATCACTTTGACAAAGCGTTTAACTTCAGTTATAAAAAAAAGTGTGTATTTTTGTAGTTATATTTTTGTCCATTGCAATAATAATGCAAAATTGCTTCCTGAAAAGCTGTCATGCTTTCTTCAAATCCAATAGAGATTAAAAAAAAGAAAAGCAATTAATTCACTAAAACTTTTCTTTAGTCAGAAAAAAGTTCAAAGGAAAAATCTTTCAATGTTTAACTGAATTCTTTTGTTTTTTAAGCTAAACTCATTTTGAAATGATTTCCTCCAACACAATCCAACGACAGACAGAGTTTTTCCACTGAATAATTTTTATCTAATTTACACTTGTGATCACTGGGGAGGATCTGGTTTTACTGTTGCACTTTTGCGAGTGTATTTTATTAGGCTGTGTAAAAAAGGAGGATACAGAACCAAATACTGAACTGCAGGTAGACGTGCAGTACACTCCAGGCTTGTCTTTTATTAAAAACTTCAAACCCTCGCATCACTTTTAACGTCACATGTCATTCCATTTCTACTGAGATTCCACTTTACATTGTGTTGTTGATCCATGACTTCTGTAAAAATGTGTGTTTATTTCAGTTACACTGATGTTAAATCAGTTGCACAGTCTTCTGTCTTGGTCACATGACTACACTGGGGCTCTACACAGAGCTCAATGGCCGGCCCGTCTGGGTGTGTGAAATATAACATGTCTGTTGGTTGACACTGTGACACTGTGTCGTGTCCTCTTGTCACCCGTAGAGCTGTGGTGATGCCCATCGCTCACGAGTTTTCTCCTGACGTGGTGCTGGTGTCGGCCGGCTTCGATGCTGTGGAAGGACATTCTCCGTCACTGGGGGGCTACAAAGTCACAGCCAAGTGTAAGATTCTCTCAGTCTATTTTACACCAACATAGTGACATCTCCCACATCGACATCGTGTTTGACTTATTTGTGTGTTTAAGGTCTTGGACAATGTGTACTTGACTTGTTTTTATCTCTGGTCTTTTAGAAGTACATCTGATTTTAATCCTAACTTTTTCTTATTTAAACTATTTATTAGTTATTAAAATGGATCAAAAATCTTTAGTCCCAGTTTGTAGAGTTTATTAAAATAACTTTGAAACAGAATTGCAGAAAAAACTGTTTTCATTTCAACGTTTTCTTTGTGCCACAGAATTAAACTGAATTGTCAGTGTATTCTCTTTGTTCAATGAGAAAATCCATTTTTTCAGTGTATCATTTAATAAAGAGCACAGGAGGTTTGTATCAACAGCTGTAAAAGTATTGATGTGAAGGTGGCGCTGCAGCAAATTTGTGCGAACCCCTGCTTTGAAAAATGCTGAGTGTCATTTAAATACAGAGTGACTCGTGAGAAACATTCCTTCTTTAAATCTATCCTTCCGCTCAGAAACATACAATTCCCTGAATTATTATTAAATCTGCCTCAACTCTGTATCTGTTTGTCTGTTTCCAGGTTTTGGCTTCCTCACCCGTCAGCTCATGTCCTTGGCTGGGGGTCGGGTGGTGATGGCCCTTGAGGGAGGACATGACCTGAAAGCCATCTGTGATGCCTCTGAAGCCTGCGTCAGTGCCTTGCTGGGCATGGAGGTATGTGCGTTTGAATATTTTGGGCATGTGCCTCCACTGATGTGATTCAGTCTAATGATTCTGCTCTGTGTCCCAGGTGGAGCCACTGTCCCAGTCCACCTTGGACCAGACGCCATGTGAGAACGCTGTCTTGTCCCTGCAGAGAGTAATCCAGGTTCAAGGTGAGAACCGTGCAAATGTAAACACAGCCAAATAAAGCACGAACAAATGAAGTGTATGAACAACGGAACATAACTGAACCAGAGTCCGTCAGACTGGAGACGGTAGATCTAGACCGGTTTAGAACCCTCTGTGTTGTTGTTTGTGATCTGCTTTTTATGTTAAATAAAAGATGGGAGAGGCAGTTAACGTAAAGAACACCACCCCCACAGAGGTGGGAGTGTAAGGCTGTGTGGATATTTCAGTGTGTGTGGAAGTGGATCTCCTTCAAGGTGGAAGGAAGAAATGGGTAGATACTGAAACATTTAAGTTTTATTGTTTTATTTTTCATGTTGGGTCTGGAGCAATAAAGTAGTAGGATTTCCATGCAGAAGGTTCTATCATTGATACCATTGGATACAAATCCACCAGGAAAAGCATTTGGTGTAAAAATGGTCAGAATCAGAAGGTGATTCTTCTTTAGTCT